AACATGATGCAACATGATGTGCCACGGGTAGACTGCATCTCCTGTGGGACGCAGCAGCGGATCCGCGCCCACCATATTAGTCCGGCTATGTGCCGTTGTGTAGCGAAAAATACTATTATACATCGTCGAGTACACCTTGCGCTTACAATTTTGTGCGCACCTTTGTCCTGCTGGTTCCATCTAAAGGCGGCATGTGACATTTTTTGCAAGTAGACTGCATCTACTGGGAGATGCAGCGGCTTCGTACGCCCAAAAACTCGTCGCTGCTTTTAAATTTTTAACATGATGCCACATGTGACGTGCTTTTTTTCCACGTCGGAACCAGTGCAAGAAAGTCTCAGCTTCTTCGCCAAGCAAGACTTGTATCTCCCCTACGAACACCGAATATAGCTGTGTGTTCCTACCCTACTCCGCTGCTATTCGATTGAATCTTTCGTCTATGTTGTGCACTCGTTGCACCCTCGTTGCCAAGGATCAACAATCTGGTTCGGAGTGGCTGTCTCTTTTACAGTTCAAAAACAGCGTGCATGTGTTCGCGCGCACATGGGTGGCTCCCTCAACCCCAGCAAAGGAAACAACTACGTAAATCCAGCACAGGAAATCGCACCAGTACGGAGACAGCAAGTACTTACACCCCTGCTGTGGCCGGCTGCTCCTGCAGTGCTGTGTCGCGTTCGGAGCGTATGGGGGTGGGGTTTGGAGATGTAACACATCCAAGCCAACAACTCCTCTCTCTAGAAAAACAGAGCATACCCTTGCGCGGGGAAAGACTCACCCGCCCTTGCCAGCGCCAAGTCGTAAGTAGGAGGCCACTTCGTGCTCTTCCTAACCCTAGCCTGCTTTGCTGCTGGTGCTGCCACGACTTGGACATCGTCGCCGCCTCCCCCGGCCGCTTGCTCCTCTCCCCCCCCTGCCTCGAGGTCTCGGGCGTGCTGCTGGCCTAGAGCCGCAAAGCCCACCCGACCGGCTGCCCATGCCGCCTCCCTCTCGGCAGCCTCGTCGCGCGCCAGATCCAGGGCCTTTGCGCTGGGCATTGTCTTTCTCTTTGGGCGGGTGCTGGACATGTTCGTAGCAGACTGCTGTGTGTGCGTGTGGGTCTGGTCTGGTGGTGGTGGCTGGTGTGGGTGTGTTGCTTCGAAGAAAGTTGCTTAAATAGGTTTCTTGGCAAAATTTTCCACAAAACGAGCCGCGCTCGGCTCTAAATCGAAATATTTTTTCCTTGTTTCTGGTTCTGGCGAGACTGTCAGGAACGATCCTCAGAACGATGGCTTAACTCAAAATATATTCCCTTATTTCAGCTTTTTTGGGGGTCCGAAACTGTCAAATATGATGATAACTTGATGTTTGTTGTTGTTGTTGTTGTTTCTCACATTAGCTCTTTAGTAGTCCACAAAAATGGGGAGCCCGTGGTCTCAAAACCCGGCACATACGACGCCGCCGGGAAACAAAACAAAAATAGGCTACAAACCACTCGGAGAAAGAAAACAAAATCATAAAAAGAAAATAATAGGTACCTCACCGACCGTTCGAGAAAAGAGCCCTCGGAAACCGATCAAAATAAAACAAACACTAAAGTAAAGGAGGACGCTTCCCACACCCGCCCAAAGAAAAAATCAAAAGGTAACGTACCAGCACCAGGCACTACGCACCAGGGCATGAGAGCACGGAGCAAACAGGACAAAGAGGTGGCAGATGGGCAGACAGCCAGACGTACAAAAACAAAGGCAACAGCAAAAGCGAGATCAAGGTACCCAACACAGCAGAGTAGGCAGGGAANGAGCCCTCGGAAACCGATCAAAATAAAACAAAAACAAATATTGAGGAGGACGCTTCCCACACCCGCCTAAAGAAACAAATCAAAGGGTAACCTACCAGCACCAGGCACTACGCACTACGCACTACGCACCAGGGCATGGAGAGCACGGAGCAAACAGGACAAAGAGGTGGCAGATGGGCAGACAGCCAGACGTACAAGGGCGGAAAGCGAGATCAAGGTACCAACACAGCAGAGTAGGCAGGAAGGTCATGAAAAAAAGAAACACAGCACAGAGGCCGAAGGCAATAAAAAGGACATACATAAAGGAGTATAGCATACAGCAGGGAGGAAAACAGAGCGCAACAACATCAGCCGGGTACATAGTTCGCCACAAGCGCTGCCTCGGCCGCCCTACTCGCTTCTACAGCAGTGCCCGTTCGCCGTTTCTTCCCCCCCACCGCCGCTTCGCCGGTTCTCTTTCTCTTCGGTCCTGAGATGGTCGTACTCTCTGCTTCTGCTTCCCGCGCGCGCTGGCGCTTCGCGGACGCTTCCGCCTCCTGCCTGTGCCATTTCCTCATGAACCATGCCGCCCCGTCCTCGACCTTGTTGTACCACACCTCTGGGTCCTGGGCGCTCTCTTTCCATTTCCCCCCTTCCTTTTCGTCTCCCATGTTGATGACCACGAGGTCCTCTTCTAGACGAGACACCAAGTCGCTCTCCTGCCCGCCCCGGTATCCCACGCCCCCCGCCAT